GTTACAATGACCTTTAATAAACTGAACCACAGGAATTAGAAATATTAATATAAATAACATTATTACTATGCAAATAGCCATAAATTGGGTTCTCTTCTTTCTGGCTCTCATAACGGAAAAGATAAAGCTCCTATTTCTCTGCTTTGTTATGTTTGTTTCTGAAGTGAACTGTATGTTAATTTCTGTGTGTGAGCACATTTCCAATCTAAACTGGCTCTTTTGACGGTGATAAGACTCCTGCTGTGAGCAAATTGAATGCAACCCCTGCAGAGGGTGGAGCTACCTTTGTATTCAGCGCTGGTGTACAACTACCTCAGGACAGTCATTTCTGATCTGCAGATATGAAATTAATTAACCGGCACCAGAGAGGCTGGCTATGGCAGTGCTGTTGTCATTTACATACAGTAATTAGACCGGGCAGCTGTTGGAGCTGCCAGCACAAAGTTGATGTCAAACTCAGCAACTAAAGTCAGATCAACAAAATATCACCTCCTTCTCCAAGGAGATATTAGGTGTTGTTTAAGCACAGCATGACACAGAGAAGGCAGTTTGGTAGGAACCACGAGCTGTCAGAGGGGAGAGTGACATCTTTTTGGCTTGTTTTTGAGGTCGCAGGAAGATATTTCTAGTCGCATCTGGGGTGTGAAAGGGGTAACAGACGTTTATAAGGCGATGACAAATCCTCCAGGTAGGAATGTCTCCTTTGATAGCACCTTCTTGTTCGAACAAAGCACTACAGGAAATAAACATGCCAGAGCTCACAGGAGTTTTTCCCTCTGTTTATTTTTTGCAAAAACACACACACTAATTTCAAATCTGTGACCACAGGCCGATATCATTTACCCATCATTCCTGCCATTGATTCAGCCACATGAATTCAAAGGTCTGAAATATAAACTTCTGCAACTTCTGAGTGTAAGCTGCAGCTCAAGCTCGATCAGGCCAGAATGGCGAGCGATCTCACTCTCCTCTCTGAACCAAGGGCAGACATCTCATGGTTTTACTGTATGTCAGGAGTAAAGCTGACCTTCAAGAATACTTCATACAGTGCCATCTTCCAGCTGGTAAAAGAGAGCAGAATAAGATGAGAGCAAATTCTAGTTAGGATAAGGACAGAGTACATTTTTTGACCGATAGGTGAAGGAGGGGGTAAACAAGTGAGGCAGATGCAGAAATGAATAATAAATAACGCTACTTTCTAGCCAAAGAGGAACTGTTTCTTAAACCCTGAGATTTAAGTGGACAATTGGGAAACAGGTAAGTGAAGCTGCACAGTTTTTTTACATACAAAGTAAGAAAGTGGTTTTCTGTGTGTACTTGTATCATGATCAATGGTAATTATGCTGCATGTAAGCGTGGTCAGTGTGGAAGTGTTGGCTGAAAGTGAGCATTGTAATATACACTATTTTCAGCGCTAAGAGGACACAGAAGGTAAAGCTCTGGCTTTCTACAATACAACTATGCTCAAATATACTACTCTACTATGCTTCTTTAAATATAAGGCGGGCAATAGTAAAGCAATATTATCAGTCCATCATGTGCTTGCTGGCTTAGTAGCTTTTGTAAATTAAATGTCACAAAAGTAAAAGGTCAGGGAAATCAGATTTATTTTAGCTAACGACATTCACAAATGTTCTCCAACTTATATCGAGGAGAAATGCGTTCTTTTGATGACAGGAAGCAATTCATTTTTTAAAAAGCTTTTATACAGGGTGAGGGTAGAATGATCGCAGACTAGGGTGGTATTCACAAGGGAAATCACATTAATCATTGCTGCCACCAAAGAATCCCAGATTCCCAGAGTCAACATGCCACAGTATAATTATTCTAATGTTGCATGATGTGTTGACAGATACTGTTCATTTGAGAGTGATCTGGGGAAATGCTACTCATCCCAGGGGGGGATCTGCAAGATTCAATGAACAGAAAGTCATAGTTTTAAAAACAGCTTTTATCATTTGGTTCATGCGTCAAGCTGTAATGCTCCTTTAACACAACTTCCAGTCCAGGCAGAGTAGACACTGAAGATCTCTTCACAAAGCACAGCTCTGACTGGTGTAACCCAGCATGAGCACATCATGACTATCTAAATATCTTCAACGTCAACGAATAAACCTCTGTAAATCCTCAAAAATAAATTGAAAAAAGATGCTACTTATAGCTCTACTTGCCTAAGAATCACCAAAATGCTTATAGACTACTACAAAATGTAGGCTACAATAGGTACATTAAGGATAAAGAGACGGCACAACATTGTACTTCCTGTTTACCTTTTTACCAATTTAGTGCATTATTATGCTTGACACAAAAATTAAATATATATATATTGTATATATCAATTCATGACACAGGCACCACACACACACACACACACACACACACACACACACACACACACACACACACACACACACACACACACACACACACACACACACGCCATATATCTGAGTTTTGTATTTAATGAGGTCCTTTTTCATGCTCAATTTTATCGTGACACGATTCTTAAAATAACCCTATTTTATTTTTCCACCTATGAAAAAATGGTATATTGACAGTTACAATTAATCTATAGCGCTGTATACTGGCTGTTTAAAAAATATATACATTTACAAATAAATAGATGGCACAGGCACACTTAACCAGTCAATCTGTCCTTACGGATCTCTATCTCACACACACACACACACACACACACACACACACACACACACACACACACACACACACACACACACACACACACACACACACACACACACACACACACACACACACACACACACACACACACACACACACACACACACACACACACACACACACACACACACACACACACACACACACACACACACTCTTTGAGGTAAACTCAGCCTTTATCTGCCCTCTGGTCAGCATGAATCTTATCTGGCTTGTTATGTTTTTCTTCCAATAGCCTCATTATCGCGGCGAGAGAGGCGGAAGGGAGACATGTGCTTGACTCTGATCTACACATTCTCTGTTCCCCTATTAAGAGTGCAATGGATTTCCTATACTGTCACAGTGAGATAGAAAAGGATGATAGCCAGGTAAGGGTGGCCTCAAAGAGAGGAGGGTCAACAGTGAGTGAGACGGAGATCACTCAGTCAAACACATGCAGCCTGATGTTGGCTCGGAGAAGGAACCTTTCATTTAATGAGGCATTGAGACCCAGCGGGAAAACAAGAAGATCCCCCAGGTGATGTTGATGCTGCCATTGCTACAGCATTGTACACAGGACTCTTTTTTAACATGAGCAATATACCTAATCTCCTCTCAATACGTACTGTAGGCGAACTTTAAAGAACAACAAACCTTGTTTCAAGAACTAGAAATGTCTTATAATTGATCTACTGTTTTCAGTTTTTACAAAAGCTCAGGTTTTATTAGAGCAGACCGATGCAGTTTTTTTAACAGAAGGCCAGCTGCCCATAATGACTCACAATCTCTCCAGTAAAGAGAGTTCTCATTTTTGAATAACAATTAAATAAAGTGTGGTGTATCTTCCCCGGGGAAAACATTTCACACTGCTGGGTGAGTTTGTGCACCAACAGTTTAGATCTTTTTGAGAAACTAAAGTATTTGGAAAGAGCATTTACACAATCATTTTTTGACTGTATTAGATGAGCCGCTTTATTTTACGGAGCCTCGCTGGGGTCAAAAGCCTGTGAGTGTAAATCTATGGGAATATAATTGTACAGTAGTTTGTGGCCTCGTGGGTTCACAATTGTTTGCACACAAAGTACATTATGCTTATGTTACTTACTGTACATGCATGTAATTATATAAAAACGTATTTTGGAGATTTGTGTAGTATTGCTACCTTTACTTAAATAAAAGATAATAGCTAATCCCACTAAGAACAAGTCAAGTACAGGATATCAACCCTATGAGTTTAACAAAACAATAAACATACACATTAGATAAACACACATTCAATAATCAATATATATATACATCAAGTGAACTATGTGGTTAGAATATAATAATAATAATAATACATTATATTTATATAGCGCTTTTCTACAACTCAAAGACGCTTTACAGTATGAGGGAGGGTAGACAAACAAGGACAGGCAAACAAAAAAAGGCAGTCAAGAGGAAGTTGATTGAGAGTGGGGGAGGCGGGGCTTATGGGTAGACAGAGTTGAAGAGATGGGTTTTGAGGCGGGACTGAAAGACTGTGACGGACTCAGAGTCACGGAGATCTTGGGGGAGGGAAATCCAGAGCCTAGGAGCTGCCACTGAGAAGGCTCTGTCCCCAAAGCTGCTGAGTGTGGATGTGGGAATGGATAGGAGTCTGGCTGCGGTGGTTGATAGGGGGTGAGAAGGTTTGTGAGATAAGGCGGGGCCAGATGGTGGAGTGCTTTGTAGGTGAGGACCAGAATTTTGTAGTTGATGCGTAGTTGAAGCCAGTGAAGGTCTTTGAGGACTGGGGTGATGTGATGGTCATTACACATATACAATATAGTCATTACAAACTTGAAACCCTCACCACACTGATTGGATGAAACTCCCTGTAGGAATATAACAGTATGGTATTACTATTGAAGCCAATAAAAATGCCCTAAGGTACAGTAGGAACACATAAATGTACTATTCTGAAGCAGAGACTCATTTTAGTAATGCAATAGTCTTGATTCTGCCTGTTTGGGTATTGCCATGCGAACAATGCGAAGTGCATTTTAGTGTGTTTACCAAAACACATTAAAATATTATGCATTGAAATCAAACTGCATCTATGAAAGCCTGGATGAAGTTTGAAATGACAAAAACAAACGTTAAAAAACCCTTGAAAACTGCTGTCCATCAAAACAAATAGAAATAAGCAAGCAAATCACAAAACAAGTGAATAAAAGTGATTGACAAGATCGGAAATGTCTGTCAATCACTTTTTTTTTAAATAAAAAAAAGGGGATTCTACTTCGCTCTACGGATGAGGCTGAGTTGGAGGCACAGGAAACACAGCCACAACTCACCTCGAGGTTTGCCTTTTGAAGCCACCACTGGAGTACCCAAGAAGACAAGAAGGGTTGGATGGACAACGAGAGAGGCAGACGCCAGAAAACAGAGAGGAAAAAGAACAAAGAAAGAAGACAGAGCAACCAATTAGACAACCGTTTAAAGAACAGTGTGCCCTTATCTATCGCGTATATGGAGAAACAGCATTGTCTTTATCTTGACTGTCAATCACGACTGCTGCAACCCTCCGATCGTTCAACCCTGAAAGAGAATGTCCCGATTTAGCTCATCAGCAAATTGAGACCTTACAATGTGGCACCTTTTAATTAGTCGTGTCACATCATCTGGATCATACAAGGAAGCTTGTTGCGTTCTAATGAGCTTGCAAGGCCCCATAAGGACATATCCTTATGGCATACTCTAGATATCATGTTTTCGATTAGTGAAGGCTGTGCTTCATTTGATTTCTCGTGGAAATTACAGACTTTATGAACATTTTACAGTTGATTATCTTGTTTTTATCAGATGCCTCTCATGGCTTCAATTTTGTGTGTACCCACAGACAGTAAGGATTTGCCTCTGTGTGCTCAGGACTAGAGCCGTGCATGCACACACTGGTGCGGCATCCTATTAGGTTTTGATTGACAGCACTGTAGAGGAGAAACACAGACACACTGTCGCCTAGCCGATAATAAACCATGATAAGGGAGGGTTCAATTAACACCTAGGTGAACACCATATAGGCTTTTATATAGAATAGCCATGTACCAAAACAAAAGGAAACACAACCTAACCAACAACAAGAGCGTCACCTTTGAGACTTCCTGCCGGTAAAAACACAGCAGAGAGCCAAATAAACAACACAGATTATCTATTAGAGCGCGTGTCTGTGTATTTGCGTGTGTATCCTGAGGGAATGACTCTTATGCTTCACACACACTGCTTTGCCAAATTGATGGATCTATTGGAATGCCTCCAGTGAGCCTGAAAACCTGAACAGCTCTGAGAGACAGCGCCTGAAAAAAGGATGAGAGAGGAAGAACACAGAGAATATAACTGCAGGTGGCGAGTCTGCGGGATATCAAATAATATCGTACTTTCTTTAAGATTACAGATAAATAAATCACAATTCCATTATCAACCAATATAGAACTGTTTTCCTTGTCTTGGCTGAGACATTAACACGTTGAAATTCATTGTCAGGAATAGAGATACAAGCTGGAAGCTGGACACTCTTTGACTCTCAAATACATTTCGTTCTGTTTGTATTAGAGAGCCATCAAATCCCAATGGCCAATTTTCAGTGACTGATGGAGATGATTACGTTTTTCTATTTCACATATTTGCCATGGTGCAAGATAGACACAGTGAGAAAGAGAGGGACTGATCATTTCCTGGGATCTTTAAGGTACATTTTGACTTATCTCAATTTTACATCAACACTAATGCTTCTATATGACCTAAACATAGGAGGCTTGAACTCTCTCCCCTCTCTCCCCCCTGCCCCCACTGGACTGTAACACCCCCACACACTCAGACACTCAAATCCAGCACCAGACACTTTTTTACACTGCTATGGACAATCTTGCACTAATGTACATTCCCAAAGATATTGAAGTGTTATTTTGTATATATTGATTGTTGTGTTTTTTTATCTTAATGTGTGCACATGTATAAATGTGTCTGTTGATTGTGTATATATAGGATATACATATTTTATACTTATTTGTATACATATTTGTATTTTTATATTCGGGATTTGGATCTCTCTGTCTGTACACACAAACTGAAATATTGACAATAAAGTTGACTTTGACATATATGCCACAAAACCTGTGATCATGATCATGATGACCAGCATGCAAAAGTGAAAGTTCTTTATCTGTATTTGCTTTGATTTGCAAAAGTCTTCTGGTTGCTACCATAATAGTATATCCGCACAACTCATGGGGATAAGTAAGACACGGGGCACAATACCCAAATATATATACAAAGCTACACAATACTGCTCCGACACAGGAATGGACACATACTGCACACAGCAGCCGGTGAACATTTCCCACCTTGCTGCTGTTGCACTGGTCAAGAGGGAGAGGAGCCGACAGAGAAACGGAGCAGTGCTTGTCATATCTTCACCAACACTTCCTTCTACATGAGACTGATGGCTTGATGAAATATTCCCTCAGCAGAGTCTGACCTCTCGCTTTACTCCTGCCTTTCATCCCTTCTGCCAAGGTAAGAGTTCCCTGTCACAACTGTGGATCTGTGATCTCTCCGAGTCAATACCCATGAAAAGAAAGGCAGGTCCTGGAGACCAAAGGTGTAAAAAAAAACACATTTGATATGGTTTTGCAACTATTCACTTGTAACAATGGCAGAATATACAACATATATACTGCAATAGGGAGACAGAGAGAGAGGAAGACCTAACACAAGCAGTAATGAAAAAAAAAAAAATGGTTGGAGTCTTATTTACAACACTCGCTCCACTTGTATCCGAGTAATACAGTTACCAGGCAACCAACACAACATTTTGGTAAATTCTGGCAAGCTGATATTGAACAAAACGCTTTTCATTGCACTCTCTCATTCAACCATTTGACCATGCTATGAGCATTTGTATTCCCACTTGATTACACAATGGCCCCCTCTAAATGGCGCGTTTCCACTACACGGCCTCGCTCGGCCCCGCTCGGTATGGCTGGGCCTCGTTAGGACTGGCTCACTTTATGGCGCATTTCCATTACAGTTTAGGAACTGGGGTAGTATCTATAGTAACGCACTGTAGGCGGAGCCGTGACGTCATCTTCAATGAGAACCCCAGAAAAACAACACAGCCGTTAGCTGTTAGCACTCAGAGCTCACAGCTCCTCATATATGTTCAGAAACTAGACAAAAGTTAAACAAGTACAAACCACAGACTGCCTGTGTCATGGCGAGTACAGTCGCTGCTTTATTTATGTCTGTATAGGCCGTTGTTGTGAGTGTGGACGGTCGGAGCATATACTGCGTTAGCTTAGCCAATCTCCATTTAGAAAACAAGCATTTTAAAAGGTTTTTCCCCTGCCGTCTGTCTGCAGACTTGACAAAGCATTAATTCATGGTTTTTACTAACCGGTATCAGTATGTTGTTACTTCGGCATCATTTTGAAACGTGTATTACAATTAAATCACGGTCAAATATGTCCATCTTGTTGTAGTTGTAGCCCCCTTGCCAGCGATGCTCTCTCTAGTTTAGCATACTCAGCCCGACTCAGCCTCGTTGTCTCTGGCCCTAGACCCACGATTTTATGAGGCCAGAAAAACTGTGAATTAGGACCCGCCGGCCGGTACTAGGCCAAGTGGAAACGCAACCAAAGACGGGCCGCTGACGTCACAGCCCTCTTAAACCGTGCTCCGCGCTGTAGTGGAAACGTGCTTTCAATACATCTGATTGGAGAGAATACACTAAGGATATCTAAGAAACTGACACCTGAAATGTATCAAATAAGACTATTGTTAATACATTGAGTCATTTTAACCTTATCCTTTAATTCCTCCTTTACCAGTGTCTCATGTGCAGTAAACTGTTACCAAAAAATGTAGAATAGAGTTACAAGAAGAATACATGTTGTCCACTATTTTCTATCATGATAAGCAATTTTTTGGTGTGGAAATGGGCATTCAAGGCAATAATGTCTAGGATTGTTCAATATATACACCGTAAATCAGTATTTTATTATTTGAAAAAAACGTTCTGCTATACTTTGACATCCTATAATGTCAAAGTGTAGCAAATAGTGCAGACCCGGCCTATATAAAGAACCAACTACCACTGTATTTATTTTAAATCCACTGGTTCATTGGACCAGTGGATTTACAGTGTGGTGGATGTTCCAATAACGGTGGCTGCTGCACCAAACTGAGCAGTACAACAGCAGCAATATAGCTGATTGTATCAAGTATACGTTGCTATAAATTGGAATTGCTCTGCCCCCTACTGGTTAAAACACTTGATGTAGCTTGAAGTTCATTTCATGGTTTCTTGAATGTACACAATATAGTGTTTGGTGAATGCTCCATAGTTCCTTGACTTAAAAACCAGTGTTCTGTAAGTGAAAGTCCACTAATATTGAGAGAATTTGGATCTGTCCCCGAAGGAAATATGGTATAATCTGCATACATTTCATCATCACAAAAACCTGGTTTATAACTCATTATTTTAGATAAAAATTATTGTTTTCTTCCCCATGAAGAGTAGTAATTGTTCTATGAACATGAAGATTCATTCAGCCCGCTTTTTAAGTATCAACCTATACCCAGCTTGAAGCTATTGGTGCATGTACGTGTGTGTATTTAAACGCACGCTGTTTTTGAGACTGAAAAAAGTAAGTGACAGTGTGGTGACAACAGGAAAAGCTCTGACATGTAAGCAGGTGGTGCTCTGTCTCCATCACCGTCAGCGGGGCGCCGTCATAAATAAACTGTGTGATAGTTCATAAAGACACCACCTACTGTGACACACACACTTACTGACACACACACACATACTGTGATCATAGTATTCCCTTAGGGTATAACTCTCCTGGGAGGACATGTGTTCATTCCCAACATCCTTCCTGTTTTCCTCTTCGTTTCCCTTCGTTTTCTGCCTTCTACTTATGTTCATTTGGGAGTTTGTCTTACCTACCTTTTCATATTTTCTCTGCCTCACTTTTAACTTTATTTTTCTCTTCCCTTTCGGTTTTTCTTCCCCCTCTGGCTTACCTTTTCACAGTAGCAGATATATTCGGAGTCTGACATGCAGTGAAAAGCCTATGGAGATCGATGTGTGCAGCGTGGCTCTCTGAGCTGTCACATGGCATGATGGAGAGTTTAGCTTATCTTTCGTACAGAAGCAGCTGTTTTGCAATATGTTTGATGTACCACGGGACCTTGGAATCCAACCAATATTCCACCGGTGAGCAGATTGCTGTAAAACCTTAACACGCTCTTTGTCAACTTATGACTTGGCTGTACATGGAGCCATCGACCCACTCGGGCAATAAAACACTGAGGAAAATAA